CTCTTGCCTTTAATTATATACTCACAAGGTGCTTCTCCCCAGTCCCTCTCTCTGGACAGCCGCCTACGGTGAATCACATATGCTTATTATCACATGGTGGCGGGGGAGAAGGGTGATGCAGTACCGCTCTGGATCTGTGAAAGTGTATGGCAAGTTCATGTGTTTATATGTTACAGATTTATTCATTTCTGCAGGATACATCTCTCTCGTTCTCTGGCTCCTTCTCAAATGTGCATTTAATGTTCATATTTATGGCCCATTTTGATGCATCCTTACATATCGTGTAAGTTCCACTCTACCATTTACTCCTTAAAGCGTGCTAAGGAATATGTGGTACAGAGCATACAAAGAGCTACAGACCCCTTGCGCTCAAAATATAATTCCAAGAATACAAAACAAGGCTATGCATACCCATTCCTGATCTCCCTGACTTCTATGGAGCATGGTGAGCAACGTGGAAAGGCTCATTGTTTATTTAATGGGACAGTACTCTTAAAAGGCACCTATGCAGCTGCTTTTCCCTCTGAATGTGGATGTTATTACTGAGATTGTCTGTTCATTAGCAAGTAAAACAAGATCTGAGTTCATGTTTTTTTCTATTAAAAGCAAAGCAAACACACTATTGAGCAAAATTGGCTAACTTGTTACTGCTTCCCAGCTCTCAAACTCCTCTACCTGTTAGGATAAGATATGCCACCTTACCTACTTCATGTGTTCATTTTTTCATGGCATTTATATTCTTGAGTCACGGAATCTACCAGCTAGTTTACCACTGCTGCTATTAGCACATCACTTGCCTGGTATCTTGTGAGGTGTCCAGTACTGACACAAGCACAGACCTAGATGCAGGTGTGAAATAAGATATGCATGCAGTCATATTTAAAAAGAAATGAAATGATGGAGAGCTCAACTCTGAGACGCCTGATCACAGCCAAGGAATTCATGGCCCAGCAAGAACCAGCAAGTACCCGGCACAGCAGAACAGTGCACAAGTATGGAGCTCATTGAGTACGCTTTAGCTTCATCCCCTTCTGGAGATTAGGTGCATTGCTCTTACAGAAGGTACCTCCACCCATGAGGAATCCAAAGCATTGAACCCACTCTGAAAAAGAGAGTCTTCATCCTCTTTTTGGTAGACTGGGATTCAGCATACTTTTGAGTCAGGAATTGTGCTAAATAATTACAGGACTCAGCCACCAATGAAATATATATGCTCAAGTCCCTCTATTCCCAGAGGGGATTCACAATTATATTTCTTAGGCGCTAAATGCTTTTTGGATTCTTTAGCCATCCTAGACATGCTGGACAAAAATAAACTCTAGATTCACAAATTATTTCAGAAATAATACTGCTGCTATTAGCACATCACTTGCCTGGTATCTTGTGAGGTGTCCAGTACTGACACAAGCACAGACCTAGATGCAGGTGTGAAATAAGATATGCATGCAGTCATATTTAAAAAGAAATGAAATGATGGAGAGCTCAACTCTGAGACGCCTGATCACAGCCAAGGAATTCATGGCCCAGGAGGAGGCAGCAAGTACCCTGTGCAGCGTGTCAGTGCAGAACAGGACTCAAACAGGACACGAGTATGGAGCTCATTGAGTACGCTTTAGCTTCATCCCCTTCTGGAGATTAGGTGCATTGCTCTTACAGAAGGTACCTCCACCCATGAGGAATCCAAAGCATTGAACCCACTCTGAAAAAGAGAGTCTTCATCCTCTTTTTGGTAGACTGGGATTCAGCATACTTTTGAGTCAGGAATTGTGCTAAATAATTACAGGACTCAGCCACCAATGAAATATATATGCTCAAGTCCCTCTATTCCCAGAGGGGATTCACAATTATATTTCTTAGGCGCTAAATGCTTTTTGGATTCTTTAGCCATCCTAGACATGCTGGACAAAAATAAACTCTAGATTCACAAATTATTTCAGAAATAATCACATCATTCAATCTCTGTTAGAGGTGTCAGTGAAAACCAGAAACCTGCAACAAGATGAAGGCCCGCATCACTAATGTCTGTACAGAGAGTGTATGGCATGATTTTTGCACCTCTAGCTCTGGCATCTAAATGAACACTTCAGATAAACAGTGAGAGGAGAAGACACTAAAAAATTTTGTTTGATTGCAGCCTAAATGTCATTTTAAGTTGTGACTGAGTCCCAGCCCCTCCAGCCAACTGGAAGCCCTGCAATCCTGTCCCTTGCAGCATCAGCCTTCTGGGAACTGGTCCTGTTGTGTCTGCACTACAAGATCTGCTGTGTTGCAGCTGCACCAGTGCAGAGAGCAGAAAGTTTTGACGGTACTGTGACTGTAGGGAGAGAAAAATCAAAAGCCTGGTGGCTAGAATAAGAATGTGGCTCACAGCTGGGAATGTTAGGATTCTCTGGAGCGTTTTGACAACATCACAACCACAGAGAGCGTTATTGGCATTCATGTGTTCCTGGTGGGATTCATGTTGCTTAGCTTCAGACATTGGCAGTGAGGAATCAAGGACAGGACAGGAGCTGTAGGAATGGTGCTGACCATAGGCTGTGGCCATATGTTTTGCTGACAGAGGTGTGAGGCTACGGAGTGGCTACTGAAAGGACTTTGCCTGGAGGAAGGCTGTTGTTGCAGTTATTTTCAGTATGCTATTGGTAAAGCTTTAAGAAAGGTGTTACTGAAAGTATGGAGTGCATTCAAGTTAGTGCTTTTGACTAATTTAATACACTACTGTCTGCGTACTTAGTGGTATTTACTTGACGTTCTCCTGGCATCCTAGGGTGTTTGTGAACAACATGGTGACTGTATGACTTGTGATACCTACAGGACTATGGTCAGTAAGTGTGCTGTGGACAGTGGGATGAGCCTAAGGGATTGATTACTCACAGATATATTGGGCGTTGTGGGTGTATGTATAAGCATGATCACAGTGCTGCTGGATTGGGGCTGGCTGGTGCCTCGCTGCCCTGGAGCTCAGATAAAATGATCACCAGTCAGGCTGAAAAAGGCCATGACAACATACTGACAGTCTGGTATTGCGAAGCAGTAAGTCTGAATGAAGACCTTTCATGGTTATTTTATGTTGACATTCTTAGGGACAAATTTAGACCCGTGTCCATTACACCATTCCTGTCCTTACCAGAAAAAACTATGGTCAGTCCTGAACAAGGCAGCTGTCTGTCTAAGGCGATATATCCCTGTACCTGGCTGGATTCTTTCTAAAGGTTGGTCACTCCCAGTCTGCTAACTGAAGAGTACTTTTCACCAAGTTAGTGTTTCAAATAAGAAGAAACACACATGTGGCTGCTGTGGTGGTGTGGGGAGGGGAGAAACAACCCTCTCTCTCCTGCTTTCACCGTAACTTTCTAAAGCTGGGTTCCAGCTATCTCCTGAAATCACCCACTACAGCACAGCTTTGTTTACCCAGTACAGAATAGATCACTGTATTTCTCTTCTCCCACAGATAACTCAGTTTTCTGAGTGGGCTACAGTCACACAGTTACAAGTTATCTCACACATAAATCTTGGCTTGGAAAGCTTTCAATATCTGCCAGAAATGTGGGCATGCTTGATTGTCCCAATCCCAGCTAAGATGCTCAAAAAGTCGGAGAGTCTTAAGCTGCTCCCTCAGGCTGCTGTGGCCTAAGTTTCTTTCTAAATCAGTAAAAGAAATAATCTTTTTTTTATACTTTTTTCTAACGTCAAGGGGGTTACTTCGGTGCACTCATTTCAGCACAGAGCTGTTTACTGACAATCCTGAGGTTGGAGTTCATGAACTTTCCTTTTCATACATCAAATTGAGTTTTAATGACCAACTAGTTCTTGAAGCACTATCCTCAAAAATACCAGTGAGTATACACAGCACCTCGGGATGAAATGGACTGTGAGCTGCTCTACAAGTTTGCCCCACTTTATAGTACATTCTTACAGAGCAGTTTTACCAAGACCCCATAAACTTCCCATTATCGGGGAGGTTGTGTCCTCAGAGACACAACACATAGGATGATTAACTGTTCCTCTCTTCCAACAGTGGTGAAGGACCAACTCCCCAGTCTACTCCTTGGGCAATGGCAGGATAGCATGGAAACAGCCCAGCAAGCAGGAACCAGCATCCACGAGCCATCGTTGTCCCTCTTATACTGTGTAACATTTGTAAACTTTATTTTCCAGTCACATAATCCAGAAAAAAGCCCTTTCAAAATCAGTTTGGATGTTAGCTCCACCAGACAGCTCTGGGAGAAGAGACTGTCAGTTTGCATCTGCTGAGACTTAAATCAGTCCCATGGCTGCTACCTTCCATCCACCCTCCAGTATTTTATTTCTTGGTAAGTGCCAGGGTACAGCAGAGGAAATGAATGCACTGATAAGCTGGAGAGATGTCTTCTCGAGTGGTTCTCAGCAAGTAAATGGCCAAGCAGGGAAGAGAAATGAGCTTTCTTGTGCCCAGTTGTACCCTTTAACGGCCATTTCTCTACTCTAGTTCAATAAACATACAATCCAGCCACCAGGAAGGGTTTGTGGGTGGTCATTTACTTAAGGGATGCCAGAAAAGAGGAAGTCTAGGCTACAGCCTGATAAAAACTGTGACCTTTGTGCTTTCCTTGTCATTCAGACCACTGTCCTATGGGTTATTTCGGAGGCGATTACAATTAGATGTCAGAATCTCTTTAACAACTACCAGCCGCTGTCTTTTGTGTGCTCCATGGAGCAGCTCCCGGAAGGGAAGCACTGACCAGTCCCTGGCTGCAGTGCCCATGAGGGTAGCACATATTGCTTGTCAGAGGTTCAGCTGGCTTTAGAGCACAGATCCTGCATCAGCCAGCAGGTAAACAAGCAAATCCTTGCTCTCACTGGAAACAGGTTGCTTTTCAACAATGAACTGTTAAAATCCTGCCTCTCTCTGCAGGGCGAATCTGCTTTAAGATACAGCACAGAACAGCTTGCCTGTGTGTTTATCACACTGAGCCAAGCACAAAACAACACAAGCTGGAAGGAAGTTGTTTTATACTTACCAGCAGCATTGATATTTTCCTCACAGGAGTACCAGATCCCAGTGTGGAAATACCTGAAAAGGAAGCGGTCATCTCCCGTCTCCCAGCTGTAATGAACCACATTCTGGTTTGTCTCATTTGCAGTCTCGTTCCCGCTATAGTTGAGGCAGTTTGTCTTCTTCTCTTTCCCACAGCTCGGCTTGGGGACCCTCTGTGTGCCCTCACACCAGTGGGTCGTGATAAAAGCTGTTGTAGAGAAGAGGAGAGCCATCAGATTCAGACTCACTGCTAGCAGGGCTCTGCATCTTCGATTTGTCTTCATGGTAAATCCGCCCTCCCTCCCCCTCCTGCTGAGAGAAGAAGTCAAAGGGTTTTGTTTTATTTGGGAGGAGGGGGGTTCAAAGCCTCTCACGATTCAGAATCCAGTTTTCCAGGCATCAAAACTCTCAGCTTCTTCCAATCTGTTGTTGTAGCAGTGAAGGAAATGCTGCAGCCAGACTCCCATTCTTCTCTTCACTTGAAATCCTGCCTTTGTACGTTAAAGGAGCAGCTGCAGGCACGGGAGAGTGGCCGTCCCCTTGTAGTCGGTGTGCTTCAGCGCGCTGACAGGATCAGAGAGGGTCTGTCTCACAAAGAGCACCAAGAGCAAGTGAACATCTGCTCGGGTACCACACATGATCCCAAGGGGCTCCGCAGCCTCCTCCGCTGGGAGACACCTGCAGGCTGCAGGACTCGCTGTCCTCTGCTCCCGTAGGATGAGGCAGGAGAAACTCAGCGGAAGGCAGGCGGCAGGGACAGCTGCTGCCTGCTACCACCGTCCTCGGCAGACCTCAGGGACCACTGCAGCGCGCTGACGGCTGAGTTGGACTGGGGGGAGGTGTCACATCTTAGTCCCAAAGAGAATCATTGTTAGGAGCTGCGAGATACATTTTTTATACACCAGAGGGTAGAGATTTGTCCAGAAGGAGGAGGGATGGAGTGATACTTTAGCTTTTCTGCTCTGAGCTAGTGACTAGTAAATCAGGGGTTTGATTCTGCTGTCAGCATACCGGTGTAGTCCTCTGTCTTCAGGGCCTTGCTCTGGAAGTCAGCAAAGCCCCAAAGGAATTTAGATTTGAAAGCGTGTAATGAGTAAAACCTACGTCTTTCACAATACCAAGTGGAGCCCCTTTCTCAGGCTTTCATTTCCAGACACAGCCCACACAGATGTTCAGTTTGAAGTGGGTCTGTAGGACATTTTGTAGGTGCTGGTTTGAGCAGATGGAGAGAACTAATTAGAGCAAACCCTGGTCTTTACTCATCAGATGGCAATGCTGTGAGAGCAGGGAGCACTGTATAATATCCTATTTCCAAAGAGAAGTGTATTGTCCTGTCTTGTTGGTTGGCTAACTTGAGTATATGACCTCTTTCCACATTGCTCAGAGCTATCTGGTGAATACTGAGTGCTGTGAGGAGACCAGGGCACCTGATGGTGGTGGTGGTACAATCTGTAAGACCTTGTATCCAAGCACTGAGGTTGGCCACATTTGTCACACAATAGTTCTGTGTCCTTAGTAGATGAATGCAATTTTCTGCAGTGAAGAAGTTGCACATACCTCCTGAGCTTTGGAATGAGTGAGATTTCCTTCCAGCCTTGTTTGGACTCCCTGCAAGGGCCGTGGGGACGCTTGTGGCCTCTCAGAGCAGTCCAGCAATGGGTTTCCAGCAAGCCCTGGAAATGACCATGCAGCCACACGGGCTCATACTAATAGATGGGACAATGCTCTCATCTCACACCCTGTGCTCTGTTAAGTCAGCACATGGACTCAACATGCAAAACTCATCCTATGCCTTACTGCCTGCAGACATGAAATGTGGTAGTAGTTTCTCCAGCTCCTTGAATAAAGCCAGGAAAGACCAGGTGGAGTTTCTCCTTAGCAAGCCACCACACAAGACTTCAGGGACCCGTTCCTGCCTCCCTGAAGCCCCCCTCAGAGCTAGCCATCGGACTCTGTATTATGCCTCTTGTTGGTGCCTGTTCTGCATGTCTGGTTCCAACTGTTTGTGAGATTTTCACTATTTATACAGAATCAGTTGGCTTTAGCCATTTTGTTTTATAAATAAACTAGCAAGTTACTAGAAAGTGGTGCTCTGTGAGAACAATTGTGATGGCAACTTTGCAAGGTTAGTGAAATAGCTTTGTACTGCAGATACTTCCCTACCTAAGTGGCCTTCATTTTGCCCACTCCTGCCTGTACATGATGACTACTACCTCCTCACTGCCAGATTTTTCCAGTGGCCTGTGCTAGCGGAGTGCCTCTGTGCACAGTCTTCCTTGTCCTGTTGGAATTGTACCACACCCCTCCATGTTCCAGTCCTTTCAGCATTTCATCTTGCAGCCAAATAATCAGCATTATTTTGTTGGGTTTAATTGCATGCAAGAAATACAGATGATGGCTATTTAAAGGACCACAGGATTATTACTTCAATTATTTTTATGTTGTAGGACATTCCACTTAGAAATGCATTTGTACGTTCCTGTGTTTCTCAGGCTTATCTGCCTGCTTAGAGGAATAAAAAAAGCAATTTAAATTATGATGGAATGCCTTCACGAGAAAGCTAGCGCTCTTCTTCAGGATTATCTTTCACGTGGCTGTCAGTATCTGAATCATCACACTTTTCAAGTGTGAATACAAGTCTTTACAGGTCTTTTCTCACAGATCTTCTCTATCCACTGCTCTGTGGCTTGTGTTTTCTGGTCCCTGCATCAACTTCTGCACACTGTTTCTCCCGGTGCAGATGTCCCTGAGGCATGGGCACCCAAGGGTTTGGTTATCATCTGTGATAATTTTGTCCTAAATACTTTTGAGATTTTGTTTTTACTCCTAATCCTAACAGCTATTTCTATTTCTGTTCCTCCTTATCTTCTTTATTCTTGTTTTTTGGGCTGACAGGGCTGTTGAGAACAGAGATGGTGGCAGTATACAAAAAAAAAGCAAAGCAAAATAAAGCAGAAATTTGGTTTCTTTTGTGATACAGAGCTTTTAGAATCTTAAGCATTTAAAAATATTAAGCACAAAGTAAAGTATGCTCAAAGTCAGGGAATTTTTTTAACATGAATTGTTTTCTTTTTCCTAACAGAAGTGAGTTTTTTTCTAATTATTAGACTCCTCTGGCTGTATATGGTGGGATTACTTGCAAAGAAGGAAACTAGTCTGTGCTATACTCATGCTGTAATGCTCCAACTATTTCTCTTTATATAATCTCTGTTTATCAGATTTGTTGTGTATAAAAATGGAAAGATCATACATATGTTGCAGAAGGCAGTTCAGATGCCCGGATTAAGTTGTATTTATGTGGTATCATCTTTAACAGTAAAGCAGAAGGCTTTGAATGCTATAGAGAAGTAATTTTCATGTTGTGGCTACAAGAACCTTTAAAAATCTTTTTGCAGCAATAGTTTTTCTCTGATGTTGTGAGAAAAACTACCTTCATGAGTTATAGCTAAACCCTTTTTCCTTTACTATTTCTTATAGGACCAGTGTAAATTGTTATTACTCGGTATTTACTCAAGTACAAAAAGAATTTGACCCAGAAGATTTAAAATAATGATAGCATTTGCAAAGGAACCCTTTCAATCAGGCTGTGTTTTTCACTAGTGGGAAACAGAAGCCACATTCACTAAAATGAGAAGAATCCCTACTTTTGGGTCCTCTGGTGATGATGGGGGGCATGGTGGACTTAGTCTGGTTGTTTATTTGATACCAGCAGTGTCAACTGCATGGGATTACATGCTATTTTTAAATCAACATTTTAAAAATCCTATAGCTTTTCTTTAAGTTCTCATTTCTTACAGGTTCGTCCTCCTGGGCTTCCTCATGTGTTTGTATTGTCTTTTTCACCTGCCACTGGACTGGGCTTCCCAGTTCCTCCTTCCACCTTGGGTTGGACCCCTCCTGGTAGCTCACCTTTTCTTTTCCTCTGCACTGCAGAGCCACAGAATCCACTTGTTCCGTTCATTCATCTTGCAAATGGTTCAAAATCTCCTTTTCTAGTCAGAATTTTCCTCCTTTGACAGAGATATCTGCATAGCTCATCTTTTTCTTGTTCTCTTACCGTGGCAAATATGAATTGTAGGTGTGCCCCCAGTACACTTCCCCTGTCCCCACTCTGTCAGCAAAATGGCAACTTTTTCCTTACTTCAGTCACTCAACAGGATTGACTTTTATCTTTGGAGAAGAGGGTTAGGATGGAAGTGCTCTACATGCTTCCCCCAGATCACTACCATGTCTGTTAGTCAACTATGTGTAGTTTGCCTTCTTTCCATTCTATATCTAGGCTACGTTTTGCTGTTTTCACCTCATTTTTTATTTTTTTCTCAGAACTCTGACCCAAAGTAGTCTGTGTTCAGCAGCGATGATTAGCACTCCGAGCCCACTGGCTGAGCTGTACAATCCTGTTCATCTAAGAGATGGTGCTGAGAGACATTACTGATTTTTTTACACAGATTAAGCCTTCAGCAAACAGACAGTCCCAGTAGGGTACATTCGAAGGTGGGCTGAATATTGATACCATATAAAATCTTGGTCTCCAGTTTAACTTTTGACTTGAAGTGTGTCTTTCATGCACTTTGCTTGTGGGCATTGAGTCAAGCACAAGAAGATTGCTCAGGAAATTCTTCCTGTTCCTAAACTGACCAGGCAAAAAATGGTTTCTGACAGTACTGTAGCAAAGACCTTTAGCAGTCTTGACAGAAAGGAAAACAGTAAAACAAACTGTTGATTCTCCTGTATGTTTTTCCCATAACAATTTCCTTGGCCCAGTGTCACTGGTCAGTAGACAAGACATTCCTAACTGCCCTCTTCAGAGTAGCTGCTTTGGATATTTTAATCAGATGCCAGTGTTGCTCATCCTTGCTTGGACACCAGGACTGTACCGTTCAAAGACTATAGGCACTCCTTTTCCTGATGACAAACGGGGTCTCTGCAGCTCTCTGATTTGAAGTCTGTCCCAAACAGACCAAGACTAATCATTCAGCACCGCTCTTTATGTAAAAACTGGTGGTCCATATATTTGTAACTGGGATGCTAACAAGTTTGTACCTATCTGGTATCTGCATTTAATTCTTCCAGCAGCTGGTGGAGAGGAAGGGAGATGAAAAGAAGCGGCAGGCCTGAGTCATGTAGATCATGTCTAGGAGAGCTGACTGGCTAAGTTGCCTGAAAAGGCAGTCCAAAAGGTCATGGCTGAGCAAGTAAGATATTCCCAATAGGCCATTTACATGTGTCCACCTATTCTGGGAGTGAATAAAATGTAATGGTATCCTACTTTTGACCCTGAATT